GATTATTTAAGGATATTAATTCTCCTATTAATAATCCTAAGGATTATTTAAGGATATTAATCCTCCTATTAACAATAATCCTAAATTAATTAATTAATCCTACTATTAATAATCCTAAGGATTATTTAAGGATATTAATCCTCCTATTAACAATAATCCTAAATTAATTAATTAATCCTACTATTAATAATCCTAAGGATTATTTAAGGATATTAATCCTCCTATTAATAATAATCCTAAATTAATTAATTTAGGATAATAATCGTAAATAAATAAGAGTAATTTTGAGTCGATCGATATTTATTAATCATAAAGTAGATTCTGCAGAGTACACGTAGAATTCAGAGACTCTTTTATGCTTAATCAATTATTGATAAAACGAAATAATTAATTATTCATATGGATTTAATCATGAAGCGAGTATTTCGAGTCTAACTCGTTTTTTAGCTGCTTCGCATGTAGCTACATTTAGGCTCCACGATAAGTGCATATATGCACTGCTGGCTGCAGAATGCGGGTCATTCGAGTGTTTACAAATCGCTATGCAAGAATACGCGCGATTCGAACGCTGATTTCGAGCTTATATCATTTTGCGGCGCATTAGTTTCCACGATATCAACAATCACCAAGTCCAGTGAACGGTGAACCGCTTATGCAGCATGCGAATGCTAACCAACAGACCTACATATTTTTCTTCTGAACGAGCACGAGATGCAAACCGTGTTTTTCAAAAAACGGAGAGTCGTGCACACAGGGTGGGAGCCTTTCAGATAGGACGCTGACCGCAATCTGTGCCGTTTACATAAATTATTATCGCTGAACTACAAATGTTTATGGAAATACGAATGTCTGTCGATTGGTTTATTGATATTTCAATTACATATCGATAAAGATTTGTTTAATTGTATGGAGGGTTAATTAATTAATCGCATCAATTCTCGGTGATAAAATTGAACGAAAGTTCAGTTCGCATTTTAGCACTTTTTTGCAGGAAAAAACAAGAAACATATTTCAATTATTTAAGCATGATTTTACCTAATTTCAATAAAGTGAATATATATTATTAGAACAATGACCGTATTAGACTTTTAGTTACAAAATTAATTATTTATGATATTTCCAAATTGTCTTTCCAAATTCGAGCATCAACGTATGCTTTTATTTTTAATAATAAATTAAAATAATATATTAAATATCGTTACGTTTTCTATGGGAATGTACGATGAAAGTTCGTATTAATCTTACGATGCACTTTATTTGTGCACTTTATATCGTGTGTGTACTAAAAGTGATAAGATATTACGATAAAAATTAAATGTTATTTCGTCGAATGCAACAAGTCAACCGATACGAACCGGCGTAAATTACATCCCCGAGTATTCTCATTTGCCGGATTGCAAAAATTAATTCCCTTGCATTTTTCCATAGTTTAGGCTCGTAAAAAATTATAGTCCCGAAGGGAAATGACAATATCTAAGAAATTTCATCATTCTTGAGCACATCATGGTAGCATTCGTACAGTTCAGGGTCGATATTATATTGGTTAAACAAAAAAAGAAGCTTAATTATTCATAACTATATCAATAATTATATTAATAGACGAAGATTATCGTAGAACAGCTAGCATATGTACAATCATTTGCTAAAATAATCCGACAGCATTTAAAAGTGAATAACTTTTTCAAAATAGTTCCAAATCTTTTAGCTCAATCTTACATGTATTTCTGAGATCAACATACATATCTCGTGACCAAAAACAAGCATGGCCAAGCAATGCAACGTGTACACCGCTACATTTTGCTCGACTTTTATATAGCATTTCCTTTCTAGACCATTTGCGTCATGCCTCGACACCGGTCACAGGTTCGTTTCACCAAACTTCAACCACCATTGCCGTCGCAATGAAAACGAGAAACCGAACGCGGTTCGGTAACGATGCATCGACCAACGAATACAGGGTGTCCCAAAAATGTCTCGCAATCCGGAAATAACGGGTTCCTCGGATCATTTCAAGCAGCTTCTTCCTTTACAAAAATGTTCTCCGAGGCACCGTTAACGAGTTATCAACGAAAAACAGCGACCAATAAGAATCGAGCTCGGCTGGCGCGAGGCGGCCCAGCCAACCAGCGCGCGAAGTCCAGTTTCGTTCATTGGCTCGGTCGCCTCGCGCCAGCCGAGCTCGCCTCTCATTGGTCGCTGTTTTTCGTTAATAACTCGTTAACGGTGCCTCGGAGAACATTTTTGTAAAGGAAAAAGTTGCTTCGAATGACCCGAGGAACCCGCCACTCTCGGATTGCGAGACATTTTTCGGACACCCTGTATGTTCCACTGGGACGAACGGCGACGAGGTGGCAGGCCCGAGCTGCTGCTGGTGTCCTTTGTGCGGACGATTGAAACTGTGTCGGCCGATCGAGTACGATGCAGTGAGAGAGTGTCGGGAATGATCAGGCACGCAGGTATGTAGTACAGTCTCTCGTTGTCCCTTTTATTCTTTGTCAGCGCCGCGTCTCGATCGAAACTAGTTTCTCCGAGATCGATGCGATGTGATCCAAGGGCGTCCAGTTCGAACGCCTGTGCATGTGTAATCCCCCTGTTACATAAAACTGCGTAGACGGTGCCGTAGGTGATTTGTTTGGGACGCGCCTCGAGTCCCCGTCATCTGTTTACAGTATCGTTTTCAACGGTAACGGGTCGTCGTCGATGCGATCGCCAAGGTCACAAGGTCACGGGTGCATACTTTTACCTGCGCGTAAGCGCGAGGGACACGCGCGCGCGACCAGGAAACCACAGCACGGGTCGCGTGCGACCCCTTCGTTCCACGATCCTGGAATTTCCGGAATTTTTCATACCTCCCTTCTCGCATTTACTATGCGAAACACGTTCAGGCGACGGAACAAAGTGTCCGCACCACTTTTAAAACGCGAATAACGTTTTTCAAGATGGACTAATTGACCTGTAGTTTCTTTTAGACGTTAGGGGCACTTAGTTTAGTGTACAGTGTCTAATTGTTTTCTTTTTTTTTAATTTTGATATTAGTTGGAACGGCGATAAAAATAAAAGCAGAAAGAGAAAGGCGGGTAATGTTATTATAGATCAAAAATGAGTAAAGCTAATACATTAAAATGATTAAGGAAATAAATAAATAGCTACTTAACTTCGATATTTTACGATCAATGTAGGCAATGTTTATTTTTTATAAGAATATGCAGTCTATTAATATCCCTTGGTCTTTCACGTAAGGAACTGATATTCAGTTCATTGCGTAAATTATAAATAAATTGTAAATACATTGTGAATAATGTAGTTAAATGTATAAGGATAAATAAATGAAATACGAATGATACATTTAATAAGATTTATTGTAAACATGTTGTACGACTGTTACATTTTACTACACTACTATTTTAATTCTAATTAGATTTATTCTTATATTTTTACTATTACTGCTATTATTATTACTATTACTGCTATTATTACTATTATTACTACTATTACTGCTACTATTACTACTATTACTGTTATTATTATTACTATTACCTGCTATCATTACTTCTATTATTATTGCCACATCGCTTATTATCGTTAACGTTGTATCGTATACCAACGTCATATATCTCCTTACCGAGCATCCCAAAATCTTCTGCAAACCATGATTTCATCCTTGACTCATTCTCAAACTCTACCCTCGACCTTCGTCCATTTCGCATTGTACCTGAACCTTTGTCTCGCCACGTCACACTAATCCTAGCAATTTCCTAAACCCCCCGTCGTTCAAGTAAGAACCTCTATACAGATTGTCCCAAAAATAGCTTCAGGAACTCCTCATTTCCTGGAAATATGTACCATGATTTCGGGACACTCTGTACACGTGTACATCATCTTACACCCCCAGCCGAGCTTCTTTACAAAAACGTGCAGCAGCTCGGGGGGTTCCTTCAAACCGTGCGCCTACACAGATCTATTCGCATCGTCAATACACTCAGAAATTATTGTTAACAAGTAAAAGGAGTTTAAAAAAGGGTACCATTATCTTCATATATATATATTACTATATAATATATTACTTATTATTATATATTATATAATAATATTATATAATATAATATAATATATAACTTATTATACATATAATAATATATATATTACTATAGAATAAATATATTATATATATAAATATATATATATATATATATATATATATATATATAAAGATAATAGTGCTATATTATTTGCTATATTATTGCTATGTTATATGCTATTATATTATCAATTAATGTTTAAATATATTTTATCTAAATAATACTCTTGACAATGAAACGAACAAGATTTTTATTTTACAGTTTAAACAGGTATGACAATCGTCGAGCGGCTTATATATCAATTTTTACATTGCACTTGCTTACTGGAACAAACGTTTCCCGGAAGCCTTTAATGATACCCGCAGGTCTGTTACCCAATGCCTTTACTATCAATTTCATACTCGATAGTCGCGGCATAATTTCGTGGAACCGGACTATACTCTACACGTTTCAACTATGTTTGGATATACGCGAGAACCGAAAACCCATATATTAACCGTTGTTTACCGGGCGCGTTCGATGGAACGCGGTGTCGTCAAGCGGTGATCAGAGGAACAGTACACCCGAGTATTAATAATTAACCGCTGTGAAAATAACCTGGACGGAGACCTGGAGCTGAAAAAAGTTGCGCCGTACAATTTGAACAAATTCGAGATAACCAGCAATTTAACGCTGCTCGCTCGAGCTAGCCCGAAAGAAATCAAAGTCATCATTGTTTGCTTTGGAGATATTACACAATTGTGGCTGCTAAGACGGACACAGGAAATTTCGTCGGAGTCCTCGCAACGATCCGAAGCCTACGTTTGAGAAAGGCAGGAATGGTGCCTCGGAGTTACCACTCGAGCGCAAAGGGTTAACGTTCAAAGACGAAGGAATGCTGTGATCAGCTGTGAACAAAATCGCAGCGCCAGGGGTTGCTCACCCCCTCTCTGCGCCTCATCCTCCGTTCGCATCCCTCCTGTCCATTCCTCCAAATTTTCTTCGCAGCAGCGCGCCACACCGTGCCGTTATTTTGCCGTAGAGAACTTTCGCCTGGACCAGCAATAAATCAATCGCGTTCGGCTGACCCGAGTCTCTTTGTTACAGTTCCCCGAACGAGCAGCCGTAGTTCCAAACGAGCGACGACGGCAAACGAGAGAGAGAGAGAGAGAGAGAGAGAGAGAGAGAGAGAGAGAGAGAGAGAGAGAGAGAGAGAGAGAGACGGCCGCGTTGCAGCAAAACCATCGCCGCGGAGGAGGAGTGGTAGAAGGTAAACAAGCGTGGAAATTATTCCGATAGCGGTTCTAAGAACGGAGACCTGGACGAGAGGCAGGCACAGGGAGGAACCGTGCCGGTGTTGGAAAAGCCGGGATGACGATAGAGAGAACCGAGGCGCGACGACGACGACGATTTGCCTGGCGAGGATCGGCGGCGAGGGGCCGTGCCCCGGGATGCCGATGCAGTGAGAGAAAAGCCGTGGCCAGACCCTCCGGTCCTCACCGGAGGTGACTACAGGGTGTCCCAAAAATGTCTTTGGCGGTTTCCTCGGGTCATTCGAAGCAACTTTTTCCTTTACAAAAATGTTCTCCGAGGCACCGTTAACGAGTTATCAACGAAAAACAGTGGCCAATGAGAGGCGAGCTCGGCCGGCGCGCGTCGACCAAGCCGATGAGCGGAACTGGGCTTCGCGCGCCGGTTGGCTGGGCCGCCTCGCTGGGCCGTACTCGATTCTTATTGGTCGCTGTTTTTCGTTGATAACTCGTTAACGGTGCCTCGGAGAACATTTTTGTAAAGGAAGAAGTTGCTTCAAATGATCCGAGGAACCCGCTGTTTCCGGATTGCGAGACATTCTTGGGACACCCTGTATAGTCGTCGTCGAAGGTAGAACCTGACAAAAGAGAAGAGCGTCGCGGGAGTCCGCGTTCCCCGGAATTCTCTGCCGGCCGAGTTCCAGCCCCGTGCCAGTACCGCGCCGCCACCGTGTGCCCTCTTCTCGCCTCCTCGCCTCTCACGTGTTGGCGCGCTTTAATTACATGCAATTTTGCAACGTAGCTCTGCCCCGGAGTCCTTGGCGCTGGAAACTATATAAACGGACCGCTTATAATTGGCGAGGCTAGCTGGAAGATTTTTAACCGAGCAGGATGTCGTGCCGTCGAGGAGCCGCCGCTGCGATCTGTGTTGCCCTATGCTGTGTTGCCCTCGTCGCCGGCGATTATCAGCTTCGTAAGTTCTTCCACGACGAACAAGGAAGGCCTCGGGCCCATCCTAGGACGGCTCTCGCGGACCGGCGATCGATCTTTAGATTGCGTACCCTTTTTTGCGGGAAAGAAGCGCGCTGTGAACGGGATCGGTTCTTTTTTTTCGATGAGTCGTGTCGCTGTCGGTCGAAAGTTTGGGTGCACGCACCCGTGTGTGAATTGTTCTTTATTCTTTTCTTGGCTATGATGCGAAGGCGGTTTTGCTATTTATTTATTTATTTGTACGCGCGTCGATGCGGTTGAGTGCAGCTTTTTCACCCTTCGGGGGTGAACTAGCCGACAGATATCTTGGCGCAGTCTCCGTTGGCAAATTCTCTTCGAGGATTGTTTTTTAATTTGTTCGATATTTATAGCTGTTTTGAACAATTGTTTAAATTGGAATAGTGAGATATGTTAGTAATAATGGTAAATAATAGTAGATAATAGTAAAATGAGTTTGAAGAGCAATTTCTTTGGGACGTGGATCGTCGAGAGACTGAAATAGCGATAAAGGGGTGCGAAATTAATTCTTGATTAATAATAAATAATAATAAATAATAATTTATAATTATTAGCTTCAGGAGAATTTACTGTAACTGCTTGCAACCCTTTGCACTCGAATGTTACGACTCCGGGGCGACGCTGAAAATTGCCACGCTATTTTCCAAAGAATTTTCGCACTGTTAAAATCGCGTGTATCCGCTAAATTGTCAGAGTATCAAATAAAAATAATCAAAGGGTTAAAATTGAAGGGGTGCTCTGTATTTTCACAGCAATAAATTCACACACAGAAAAAGAAAAAATGTCCAGAAAACAGGACTCGAAGAAAAATCGAATTCCTTTGCTTTCAACCATTTGCGTTTAAGTTGTAAATAAATATTGTAATATAAACATATACCAAACTTTTGATATACCATTTTGTCAACTAGAATACCAGAACATCTCCAAGCAAAGCGATCTTAAAATCCAAAATGTCTTCCAGTCAAAGATTGATCTTGAAGTCCCGCTTGAAATTTCCAATTTATTTTCTTCGATTTCAGTTTCCACGAGCATTTCAATGCACCGGTCTTTGTTCCGCAATGCGATCCGCGTTCGGCCGTTGGGCCCACCTTGGACCCGTCGATTTTACCGAGCCAGCGAGTTAGAAAGTTAGCGTGGGACGCGCGCGCGCGCAAGTGTAGAGGCGACTTGAATTTTAGCGAAATCGGCGAGCCGCCGTTCACCGGGTTCCATTTGCTCCGCGGCGGCCGTAAACATTTGCATCGTTGCAATTAATTCTATCGACCTAGTTCAACAAATATTTCATCATTCCCGACGTAACGGCCGATTATCTCTCTCATTCTTTTTTCTTTTCTTTTTATCCGCAGCGGCGGGCGTGAAAACATGCAAGAAGGACGGGGATGACTTTTCGTCCTGCTTGAGACTCGCTATCCAGGAATCGTGGCCGGTGTTTATAGCAGGTAAATGATAATTTTTCTATCATTTTTCATAATTTTCCGGCACTTCGACTCGTTCGAGGAAGGAATACAGCAATGTCTCCCTAACTGACGCTCGAAGATCGCGCCCAAAATTGGACAATTCGGGAACAGGAGATACGATTGTTCTAGTTTTTATAATTGTTGACAATCGGTAACTGTAAAAACGAGTAGCAAGGCTCGAATAATCGTGTCTCCTCTTCCCAAATCGTCCAATTTCGTGGAGCGTCAATTAGAGAGACATTACTGAACTATAATTTCTGCCTAATTCTGCGCTCGGATTGCGCAGAAAAATGGACGTATTTTTATTGTTAACGACTGTGAAAACGAGATGCAGTGGAACGTGCAACGTTTATTAACATTAAGGAATCTCATTAGATTCAGATTTCATATTTTCAAACAATATTGTAAAATGTAAGCTCAGACTTTGTACATTTGTTACAGGGTGTCCATTTGAAAACTTGAACATTTTAAAATTTTAAATATAAAAGCTACTCGATTTCAAAGGGAGAAATACAACTATTTTATTTATATTTTGTTGATTGCTTTTAAGGTTATTCGGGGGGTAACTTTCTTTATTTTTCTTAACGGGAAGCTATACTTTTATTTTAATATGATTCTTCGTGAATAATTCTTAATATAATATCATTGTATGTATATTATCATGATATCTATTTCAAATATTTATTTATAAATTATATTATCATTATATTTTTTTAACGGGAAGCTATACTTTTATTTTAATATGATTCTTCGTGAATAATTCTTAATATAATATAATTATATGTATATCATCATAATATTTATTTCAAATATTTATTTATAAATTATATGATCATTATAAAATATTATTATAATAATTCTGAATATATATAATATAATTCTTCGAAATAATTCTCCGCGAAAACCAGGGATACCGGACTTGGGACTGCCAGCTTTGGACCCTTACTTCGTGGAGACCCATCTGACGACTTATGACAGCGGCCAACTGCGCGGAACGCTGCACGCCACCAACGTAAATACTTATGGTTTCGCGAAAGCCCGTTTCCTGTCCGTGAAGCCAGAACTGAACAACGATGTCTTCCGTCTGGAGATAGACGTCGAGCTGCCGAAGCTCTTGATCGAGGGCGACTACAAAGCGGACGGATCTCTGGGCACCTTCCAAATCGGCGGCAGCGGTATGTCCTTCGACGATCCGTTCAACTAATTGGGCCAGAGGACTTCGGAAAATATGTTTTATTCATCTATGTTGCGCAGAAATTTTTATTATTAATTTTAAATTAAGCAGAAGTGCTATATTTTCATTAACAAAGAAATCGCGTAATGTAAAGGGATAAGGAGATAATAATAATTCAATTTGTTGTTAGAGGGCAGGACTTAAACAGTCCCATAGTGTCAAAGGGGGTCTAAACAAGGGTTTAAAAATGTCCCACCATGCATTGCCGTGCATCAAAAAAAGGTGGAATATTTTTAAACATTTTTAACACCACCGTGCCCCAAAGGCTTAACCCCCTGCATCGCGATTTCCTTCGCAGCTACGTTTATTAACGAACAAAATCAAATTTCGATACGTTTGAATATATAATTTTTGATATAATTTCAATATTTATTATATTAATATACAATAATATACGTAAGGGTGACATAGGGGTGACGCTAATTTTTAACTAGGTTTTCATTGCAATATATATTGAACAAATTGAATATTACTAAAGTGTCCTAATTGTCATCTGCTGTGACAAATATTTAACATTCTAGTTTCGCTTAATTAAATAATTAAATTGCTCCGACTTTGTTATTAAATTTGAACGGTGTCTCACGAACCTTTTTATCCGCGACAGGAACCTTCAATATCAGCCTGGACGACGTGAAAACGAACTGGGACATCACGGGCCACATCGTCGACGACCACTGGGTCGTCGAACACTTCAGGCTGACGCCGGAAGTTGGCAACTTGAGGCTCTGGTTCAGCGATCTGTTCAACGGAAACGAGGAAATGAGTAAGTGTCTCGTTCGCTCTCTCGTTGAATCGACGTTGCGTGGCCGCGAATTTGTGACAAAAATCAGCAGTTCTATCTACACCAGGATCCTTTCTGTTGTTTACATTTTTTTCTTCTACACTGGGAATTATTCACTGGGTCCAAACGGACCCGAGCTTCGCCGCTCGGGCGTTAAAGTTGCCCAGAAGATTAAGGAAAGTTCGTAGGAAATATAATATATATAATATATATTACTAATATTACTATTATAGTTAATATATATTACTAATATTACTAATATAGTAGACAATATTACTATATATAATATAGTAGACAATATAGCAGATATATATATATAGTCTATATAGTAGTCAATATTATAATACTATAATAATACTACTACTAATAATACTATATAGTATAGTAATATTATATATAGTAATATTATCTATACTATATATAATATAGTAGACAATACACTATATAGACAAAACTACTATATTATATATAGTAATATATCTACAACTAGAACGCTTTTCCTCAAACGTTGCTATAGCTCAGAACAATAAAACAAAATAAAAGACTGTTTCGTTGATCTCGCATGCTTGTTAGAAAAGGAACTATAAAACGTTAAAGGAAGAAGGAAATTTTGAAATTTTTACTACTATTTTTCATAAATAATCCACGGTCCATTTTACAGTAATAAATTCACCAGAAGTATAGAGCAGCCCCTGCTTCCTGGAAACATTGTAAAAGATAACATGATGCAACGTAAGAATGGGATGCCACCGAGTGGCTATTTGCGACACTCTGGATTGGCGCAAACTTTCATTAGTCGTACCGTGTCATTTCGGTGGCTTATCATTACGCAATGCATAACCGTTATCGTTGGGACCGCATGGGGCCCCTGGTCGGTAGTACGTCAGAGGACATAGAGACAGGAGGAGGCGCTTAATTAGCATGCATTTGCCGCATTTGTTCTCGACGCAACGCCTATGCCAGGCCTATTACGTCGCCCCCCACCCCTTTTACCTAAGACGGGCCCCGCTCTCTGTCCACTATTACGTTATCATTCTCGCCTTAGCGCTTTTTCTTGCAATCGCCTTATCGTATTGCGAGATAGCGCCGTTTTCGCGCTGCTCCTCGAGAACATTCGACATGAACTTCTCTCTATGACTCGAGTTTTCCAGCCGGTTTGCTAATAGTTTACACGATAAATTAACGTTCTAGTGGCCTGCATAATTACAGGCTCGAAGTGACTTTTTTTTACATTGTCATCGTTATCTGAACGAGCACCCGACGAAATTTCGCGTTCGTTTATTTACATTTTCTGTCGTTTCTAATAATGCAATTATGTTTGCTTGAGTTCAATTTAGATACATAGGATGCTCCGGTTAAAGGGGACCATCTACAGCGCTGTGAATAATTATAAACTCAATGTAACTGCTATATTTTTATTGATGTTTAAGTGGGAAGCAAAAATTGGCGTGTTTGTGTATTTCTATTTATTAATTGTAGTATAGAGATATGCAAATATGGTCTTTTGTTAGGTATTATGATAAATATTATATAATATTATTATATTATTATATTATATTATATTATATATTATATAATATTAATATTATATTATGTATTATGATAAATATATATTTTTATGATAAAAATTGTAGGGGGTAGTTTGGATCAATAAGAAAACTGACGAAAGTTAATGGTGTCAGTGTATTCAATTGATCTTACTGGAATTGTTTAAGTAACAAGGGAATTTTTTTATGTTTATTAACGTCGACGGTGACTATTTTTATTCTGCATAAAGATTCGGCAATTTATACACGATATAAATTTACATACACGATGCTTTAAATATTATTAATACCGTTGGCACACGCTTGCATGGTTATTTAATGTTTATTTAAAAAATATTTTGCGACAAGTTTAGAACCGAAGAATTAATTTTCGCCAAAAGAACGAGCCATAGTAAGTTCGTTTTTTAATTAACAAACGTATGTAGCATATCAATTTTTATAGTAACAATCGGCCAGAATGAAAAGTCTGGTAAAAACGACAGCCACGAATCAGATTATTTAAAAATTGAATAATAATTGTTTCAGATCGCGCTGCGATGTACTTCGCCAACGAATACTGGCCGCTGATATACCGCGGAATGTTGCCGAAGCTGATCGAGTCGTGGGACACGCTTCTGACGGAGTTCGTAAATCGCTTCTTCTCGAAGATAGCGTTCTCGTCGGTGTTCCCTTGAGCTGCGCCCAGTCCGTAGTAAATAATTAAAAGCGTGTCGAGGTAAGGCTGGGGGATGGAGATCGATAGATCTTAAGGAGTCGACGCGGAACGTGGATGGGAACCGAAGGGTCGCGCAACATACAACGTAATTTCCGCGCGACGGAAACACCCCACGCGAGGGTACGAGTCGAGCTGTGATTACGTTTAAACTGTTGCCACCCCCCGGAGCGTCTTGTAACGAATATAAAACTGTAAGATGGTCTGTTGAAATCGATCTTGTTGATATTACGATTGTTATCGAACGAGATGTAAATAAACTAATGCTAAATACCAATTCGTGTTTGATGATTTTCTGGAGTAACATCATCCGCCATCAGAAAGAAAAAACGAGGGAAGAAATGCGAAAAATGTACACGTACATTTTATATATATTTTTTAGATATATACGGAAAGTCCAAATTACATGCAACTTCGAGCTAAATCTAATTATTTTACTGTGCGACCCAGCTATTCGATACACCCCTGATTCGCATACAGGGTGTCCCTTAGATGTCTCGCAATCTGGTACTGAGGGATTCCTGAGGTCATTTGAGGCAACTTTTTCCTTTACAAAAATGTTCTCCGACGCTTCGTTTACGAGTTATCGACGAAAAACACCGACGCCACGCCCTCGCGACCATCGCTGCTGCGTCAGACGGCCGGCGGGACGCGGCATTGGTCGCTGGGCGGAGCGCTGACCGCGCTCGCTCCCCGACTGGTCCACGTTTTTCGCTAATAACTCGCAAACGAAGCCTCGGAGAAAATTTCTGTAAAGGAAAAAGTTGCTTCAAATGACTTCAGGAATCCCCCAATGCCGGATTACGAGACATAACCTTGACACTCTGTATAAATCGTGTTGTAACTCCATTTAGATGTATCGGTGGCTGTTCTAATACGAACCCGCTACGTTCTGCTTAATATACTATGGTGCGTCTCTTAAACGAATAATTAAAAGAGGGTACATGGGGAAAACGAATGGCCGATCATCATTCGTGTATAAGTGTAGATAGAATTCTATGTAATACTGCGGATCGAAGTGCTATCCACGATGCTCTATTCTAACCCCCGATATTGTATATGTGTGCTCTCGCGATTACAGCAATAATACGCTTAAAATACGCTGTAACGGCCATTTATTTCCCACCGACCTAACGCGATCGTAATATGTATGTATTGGTGTTCGCGGCGGCAACGTTGCTGTTCAAGGCAGGAGGAATACTTCGACCGGCACGTGACGCAACAATTGATTGACGATGCCGGCGAAAAGCACGGATAGCTTCCTCTTCAGTTGCGGCTCCATCGCTTTCAACACTTCCTGCCCGTTCTCACGAAGGAACAGATTCGTCGCTTCCGCTGCAAACATAATTCGATTCAATTGGATGCACTTAGTGGTATTTCCCGAGTTGTACAGGGTGTCCCGATATTATTGTACGAGCGAGAGGTTCCCGAGGCCTCTGAGGGATTCCTGAGGCCATTTGAAGCAACTTTCTCCTTAGCGAAAATTCAATCCGACGCTTCGTTTGCGAGTTATTAATGAAAAACGCTAGCGAATCGGAGCGCGAGCGCGGCCGGCGCTCCGCCCTCGCGGTCAATGCCGCGTCGCGCCGGCCACCTGACCCAGCGAGGGCGTGGCGTCAGCCGTGCGCCATCCCTCATTGATAAGCGTTTTTCGTCAATAACTCGTGAACGCTGCGTCGTAGAACATTTTTGTAAAGGAAAAAGTTGCTTCAAATGACCTCAGCTACCTTCCATTTCAGTATTACGACGTTCTGTATTAGGACAACCTGTATTAAAGCCATATTAGAGAGCTGCTTGATTAGACGGTTCTCGAATCGCATCGAAGGACTGCTGTGTCCTCGATTTGCATACTTACTCAGTATCCGATTGTTATTGAATATCTTGCGGACCCTCATGTGCACGTTCTTAACGTCCAGGACGACGTCGAGGTTCTCCACGTTCAGGTACGTCTTCTCGTCGCGTATCTTCGTGGACACCGTACCCTTGACTAGAGCTTTGACGTCGTCGAACCGAGCGTGGAACGTCCCGTTGCCACTGGCTGGCAGAATGATCAGCACCCCTGAGCTGATCAATCAATCGACGAGACAAACGATTGGGGTGAAATAATTGAACTTGAAATAATTGTAAATTAAGATTTTAGAAAGTGTCGCTATAATATAATATCGAAACTATCGCTATAATAAAAAAAATCTGTGTTACATTTTTTTACCAAAGTGGTGAGAAAATTTGAAAGGTGTAATTTCACCCCTTTGCTAAAAATAGCGTTAAATATTTCTGATGCTTCCCATTTGATCTACTTCCTTGTCAGAGAAGCATACAATCTGCATTTTATTTATTATTTACTGCAAAATTAATAAATCGAATCCTAAGATATTATATATTATATATTATATTATATTATATTATATATATTATATTATATTATATTATATTATATTATATTATATTATATTATATATTGGCGTTATACTGGCACAGAGCTCGGAAATATTTATTCATATTTTCATAGTGTGCGTTCGAAAAGGTGGCGTCGCGCCGCGCTATTGAGCAGCGGCCAGTAAATAGAGCAGAAGTATTTTCATGGAAAAGAAACGAACGAACCTGGAATAATGCGCGTCCAAGNACACCGTACCCTTGACTAGAGCTTTGACGTCGTCGAACCGAGCGTGGAACGTCCCGTTGCCACTGGCTGGCAGAATGATCAGCACCCCTGAGCTGATCAATCAATCGACGAGACAAACGATTGGGGTGAAATAATTGAACTTGAAATAATTGTAAATTAAGATTTTAGAAAGTGTCGCTATAATATAATATCGAAACTATCGCTATAATAAAAAAAATCTGTGTTACATTTTTTTACCAAAGTGGTGAGAAAATTTGAAAGGTGTAATTTCACCCCTTTGCTAAAAATAGCGTTAAATATTTCTGATGCTTCCCATTTGATCTACTTCCTTGTCAGAGAAGCATACAATCTGCATTTTATTTATTATTTACTGCAAAATTAATAAATCGAATCCTAAGATATTATATATTATATATTATATTATATTATATTATATATATTATATTATATTATATTATATTATATTATATTATATTATATATTGGCGTTATACTGGCACAGAGCTCGGAAATATTTATTCATATTTTCATAGTGTGCGTTCGAAAAGGTGGCGTCGCGCCGCGCTATTGAGCAGCGGCCAGTAAATAGAGCAGAAGTATTTTCATGGAAAAGAAACGAACGAACCTGGAATAATGCGCGTCCAAGATAAGGGCTGGCATTCGTACAATAGCTTCGAAGGGTGAGCCGAGTTTAATATCCTCGACTGTGTAGTTGCTCGCTCCCCTTACGAACAGTTCGCGTAGCTGTACCTTGTAACCGTTTGTACCACCTGTCAGGGACAGAGTCAGCTCGTCCATCTGTCGAAACGGGCCAGAGTCGCGAATTTACTTTTTGGAATAACGGATCTTGAACGGTACGACGATCGAATTTAACAATAAACGTGTCAGATTAAATGCAAGCGTGTTGCACCGATTATGCTGGGGTGCTGATTTCGGGGAGTAAAGCGACCATTAAAGAGAGAGAAAGAAAGGGAAACAGACAGACAGACAGACAGACAGACAATCACACAGAAGAAAAAGAGAGACAGATAGACAGAAAAAAAAGAGAGAGAGACAGACAGACAGACAGACAGAGTGAGAGAGACAGAGAGGCAGACAGACAAACAGAGTGAGAGAGAGAGAGAGAGAGAGAGAACGCGAGTGACAGAGAGAGAGAGAGAGAGAGAGAGAGTGACAAAGAGAGACAGAGAGACAGACAGAATGAGAGAGAAAGCGAGTGACAGAGAGAGAGAGAGAGAGAGAGGCAGAGTGAGAGAGAAAGAGTGACAAAGAGAGACAAAGAGAGACAGAGAGAGAGAGAGAGAGAGAGAACTAGTGACAGAGAGAGCGAGAGACAGACAAAGTATAAGAGAGAGAGAGAGAGAGAGAGAGAGAGAGAGAGAATGAGAGAGAATTTCGCTTACGCGAAAGGGTTCGACGGAAGGCAGCTCGATTTCCGGAATCCCGACGCTCAGGTACGGTCTCAGGTGATGGAGGGCATCGATCAGACACGCTTTCAGCTTCGGGTCGCTCCTCGAACACTGTTTCACGTATTCGGCTGGAACGATAGAACACACGCGAATTAGAAATAGCCAGTGCATCGCATGCAACTTTAACAAACCACGGAGACCGCCTCAAATCAAATCCCCTGAAACGCTGAAGCCGCGAGACGAAGCCTTAGCGGTCGCGCGAGAAGAAAGAAAATCTCGCATTGATCGAGACGAAGAAAGCAGCTCGTCATACTAACCGTCATACCAATCGTCAAACTTACACCACCAAATTCAAGCGAAATTGAACGCGAGCAGGGTTGCTCGTTCGCGCGAACGATTTCAATTTCCCTTCATCCCAGAATTACGCAACGTTCGCGGAAAAATGCTCGCCGCTCCTTCAAACCGCGAAATCCTCGCTTATCGCGATAAACTGAAAGCTGCCGCCGTTTCGTGCAAACGAACAAATTAGCCCGGTCATAACACAATCAATTATGTCACGTCCCGAGGGAGAAAAAAGAACGGATGCTTTGCTGACCCATTCGCCGCGGCCGATTTGAATCGACTTTCACCGGAACGTCGAATCGGCAAACTTGACTCTGAAAGACGGCTGTCTCGACGGAACGCCTGTCCACGAAACCGGAAGCGAGAGATCGCGGAAGATCGCGGAGATCCTAGCAGTCGAAAAATCGATTCTACTCACGATTCGAGTCGACGGAGAGCGTGCTCGAGCCGCTCGCCACCAACAGAAGCAGAAGGAAGAACATCGTCGTCGGCGCGGTCATCGTTGGCCCACACTCTCGGTTCCTTCTTCGGGGATGACGATAACTAACGATTACGACGGAGGGTTCACCCTTTATTTTTTGTTTTCAAACGCGATCTCAGCTGCCCGCGCCGATCACACCACCGCCGACACACGCACCGTCGTCGTCGTTCAGGCAGATTCAGCCGGGCACGAGCGTGCGATTCGCGATCGGATCGCCGACACTTTCGAGCAACCGTTGCCGCCTTCAAATCCCGGTTCCTCGGCGAAACGGCACCGCTACTGCAAGACTGGCTTGGCTCTCTGGCTATGCAAGAGGGCATTGACAGATGCTAGATCGTAACTGCACTCCGGGATACTTTCACTGGTCGCAACGTGCACCTGCGCCTTCTTCGTCTACGACAGACAGACAGACAGACAGACAGACGAGTCTCTTAGGCCATGTTAGAGACCGTCGAAAGTACCCTAGATACTCTTCGATCTTTTCCAATCTTGCCACGGGCTGACGTCCGACTGGAAAAGCTGCCCCGCAGCTCTACGGTTGCCTCCTCGCTTGCTCGCTCGATCGCTGGCCGCAGTGGTGTTTGCAGAGAGAAAAATAATATTTTCGTAGCGGGGTCTTTCGTTATCGATCTTCACGATCTATTATTGCCGCGCCTGGAAAAAACGCGACGATTATTAATAACGCGGCGTGGAAAATGGCGAAGGAGAAATGGAAATGTCCTGCGAGATGAGAGCAGTGTTTCTCACCGAGATTATATTATATTATATTTATTATATTATATTTGTTATATTAGATTTATTGTATTATATTTATTATATTATATTTATTGTATTATATTTATTATATCATATATATTGTATTATGTATATTATATTATATTTATTGTATTATATTTATTATATCTACTGTATTATATTTATTGTATTATATCTACTGTATTATATTTATTGTATCATATATATTGTATTATATTTATTATATTATATTTATTATATCATATTTATTGTATACATATTATATGTTGAATATTTATGCTATTGTTCGATGAATATGTAATAATGTACCCGCCATATTCAATGTCCCCATTTTGGAACGGGTATTTCACCCTCACCTGACAACACATTTACACATATTCTTAATTACAAGCATCAAATTATTATCTATCGCGCGTAAGATATGTTTATTATTATTATTACGTCTTTTAATTTATGCAGAAAAGGCATAATTTTGCCATTTCTCGCCGCAACTATTATTTTTTCTCCGCGGCCAACTTTCCATTTCTTCGAGTAACACGTTTTTCCCCTTTCTCTGGTTTTATTATTCGTTGCAAGATGCAACAAATAAATACGCGAGATGCAAAATGAAAACTCGAGTTTCGCATCCACTATCTCGTAACGTAACGGAAACAATTAAATTTGTTTTACTTTCGCTGTTGAAGAAAAATGCGATTAAGAAAACCGCGAACCTGTTCCATGAACGGGTACGACCGGTAACGACGCTGCCCGCGCATATGAAACACGGATGCGAACCGTGTTACAACACCTATGTTCGAGTGAACATTCTTTTTTTTTTCTCACAGCTGATCGCAGCATAACCTTATCTGTGCGAGCGAATTTACGAGGAACAGTGTTCGAAATATGGGTTGAACTTTTATATCCACTTTCGTAGGTTGTATGTATTTTTTTATCGGATTATTTGGGGGCACCGTTTCATAGAAGGGGTTGAAATCGAGACGGTGTTTCATAATGGTCGCTTCTGTCTCGCGAAAATACAATTTGAAAATTATAGTACAGTAATTTCTCCCTAATAATATATATACTATTATTTATATTTTATTTATTTCTCAATTTTTGATTATTATTTTTAATTCTATTTTAATTATTAATATCTGTATTTTATAGTCATCGATTGTTGGCGAATTGGTTCTCGAATTAGGGAGAAATTGCTGTATTATCTTCGACAATAAGAAATTATTGTTGGTCGGAATGGGCCCGCATTGTTAACAACATTACACGCGAATCGTTTTGCGGAGCCTCGCAGTGAAAAGGTGTTCGAACACGGGTTGCGTGTTTTTCTAACAAAGGACTAACTTTCTAAGAGGATCCTGCGTGTGTTCAACGAACGCCTAGCTAGCTAATTGCGCCGAACGAATAATATTCGTGATCTTTTTCGTTATTGATATATTTTATAATCTATTATATATATTATTTGTTATATCTATTATGTCTATATTATATTTATATCTATTATATCTATTGTAATAAATATAATATAGATACAATAGATAAGCTATTATATCTATTATATCTATATTATATTTATTATATCTATCATATCTATATTATATTTATATTATATCTATTATATCTATATTATATTATCTATCTATATTTATATCTATTATATCTTATTATGTCTCTCCTGATATATTATATTACTGATACCTGAATACAATGGATTATCATGAAAAAGAACGTTTAAATAATTCCGTGACCCACATATAAGGTGACAAGCGCGCAGTCAAAGTGTAAACGATGCGTGTGAACGTGTAATAACGAACAATGGCGGGTCAAGAAAAGCAACAATGAATGATCAAAGAGTATACAAAATTAAAGAGTAGCGTTTATAAAACGGAGTTTTATAACGAAGTCGCAACCCACCGTCGGATCTACAATGTGGAAACCGATAGAAGGGTTGCTTGTTCGACCAGCAGTTTCCATTAGCCTGCAATTAAGATTGCCGCATTGTGCAATGAAAATTTTCCGTAGACTGAGCACGCGGAATGAAGCCAAGAAAATGATCGATGTTGTACGTATATATGTATAGAGATGGCCCTAGTCGTCGATGTACAGTCGCCTCGGAAAGTACGTCAACCCCCTTTTCTCAAACGGAATAACTTTCTTCGAAAATTGATTTAAAGAACTTGAATATTTTTGACACGTTAGATCTACGAGTTTTTTTTATGAAATGAGCATGCCAAAAGTTGTTTAGATTGCAAATGAATGGAATGATAAAAAAAATTAAAGTAGGATGTTCTCTCAACTTTTTTGATCTTAGAGTGTAAACGAAAATTTAAGAAATGCATTTTGTGAATTATGGTTATGCACTTGTATGCATACTGAAAATTTCTGTGCACCCGGTGTTGCAACAATAGCTCGGCAGGTCTTACGTTGAAGCACAGCAGGTTGTCTGCGAACAGGTGCAATTAAATCCGTGCCACGGAATGAGCTGTTAATAATAAAATAATAATATTCGATTTTTATCTGTTTCTATTTATATATTTTAAAAGCAATAACTTTTCCCAAATGGAGCAAACGACTTAAATATTTTTCAAATGTTGAACTAAATAATCAGACATTTATTATATTATATTATTATATTATTATGTTACTATATTATTATGTTATCATATTATTATATTATTGTGTTACTATATTATTATGTTATCATATTATTCTATTATAATATTATTATGTTATTATATTATTATATTATCATATTATTATATTATTATGTTATCATATTATTATATTATTATGCTACTATATTATTATGTTATTATATTATTATATTATTACATTATTGTTAATTAAAGTCGTTGTCCATCGTTAACAATAAAATATAGATAGCAATAACTAAAATAAAATAGTATCGATAGTAACAATAACAATTCTTTGACAGTAACAATTAATCAAAAATTAAGAAATAAACAAAACACAAACAATCGTATCTCCTCTCTCCAAATTGTCCACTTTTAGGCGCAGTCCAAGCGCGAATCAGAGAGAAATTACTTTACAGTAGTCCGTTCTCCGTCGAACGTTATTTTTATGTAATCCAGATTTTAGGTCATTCCCAAGAAGACCGTCTCTCGTCCAATTTGTTTAAAATCGCGATGTTACGCGAAAAACTTCACGATTTGATCAAACCCTATTGCACAATCCTCATTGCGTAAACGACTTTCACCGGCGAGATGTTCGAACGTATTTTTTTCTCCCGGCAACTCGCGAAACGTTGATAAATAAAGAATGGCGCGGCGATAACAATGCTTTGCAGCGCGACAGCGCACGATTTTCATTGTGATTATTTCACAGCGCGGTTAATCTTCCGTCCGCGTCTGCTTCGAGCAGAGAATTTTATTCGAATCGAAATCCGTTTTTTTTCATCATTTTTTTTGCAAGTAATAAATATGACATTATACTACTAAATAATAATATAATATTATATTATTATATTATTATACAATAATATAATATAATAATGTTATACTACTAAATTATTATATTATAATATTATTATACTACTAAATTAGTATATTATTATATTATTATACTATTATATTATTATATCGTTATATTATTGTACATTATGTATTACATTATTATTATTTATATTTATTGCCAAGCGGAAGCTATAAACCCGTCAGAAAAGTTTCAAAATTCAAATATATGAATATGGCGGAAAGCGAATTCGCAGAGACCACACTGCGCAAACAAACATCGCAAGTAGGGGCAGAGGAGAAATCTAGCAATTACGTAAAGATATAAAGATCGAAAGAGCTCGATAGCTTTTTCGTCGATGCGACGATTTATTATTAAGCATTGCCCGTCGAGGACGGACGCTCCAAAATGAAAGGTGCATCGCGACGTTCTTCTCTTTTTAACCCTTTGTTGTCTATAGGGGCACGTGAAGTCCGTTTCTCCACGATATAATAATGTAATAATAATAATGTAACAAATAAATACGTAATATAAATATAAATATGAATATAATGTAATATAAATATAAATATGAATATAGTGTAATATAAATATAAATGTGAATATAATGTAATATAAATATAAATACAAATATAATGTAATATCAATATAAATACAAATATAATGTAATATAAATGTAAATATAAATATGAATATAATGTAACATAAATGTAATAAATAACCTAATGCGTTGCAATAGGACACATATATTCCAACCCTTAGCAGCCAAAAGGGATAACCTGATAAAATTCTACTAAAATCACTGACAAACGCAAATTAACTTGAAATAAATATTACTGCAAAGGATTAAGCAACCCGACGACGATTGATAAAGCTAAACGATCGATCACCTTATTCACCGAGCGACGCATCATCCCCCTCAGACCGAAACTTCCCGCTGCTGCATCGTCGGCTGCGGCCCGTCAATTTCTCGCTCGATGCAACAACAACCTGTTGCTCCGAATGCACCGTTGCACACAACCTTCCCCATCGGGCAAACGAGAACAAACTAACACGGTATAATCAGCGCAACATCGTGTCGGCGAACTCCGGTCCCTAAAACGGCCGCGCCGCGTCCATTTATACCGTTCCCTTCCCCGAACTTCGTCCTCGATCGTCGCCGGAACAACATTTACCGCGACCTTCAGAACCGGAATTATCTCAATAAAATGTGATATTTAAACAAAAAGAAAAAGAAGAAGAAGAAGGAAAAAACAGAGGAGAAAAAGAAAGGGAAGCGGAAACATTCGCGGCGGACATTTCGGTGCCCTCCGTTGTACAGTAATGTCTCCCTTACTGACGCTTGGATTGTCCACTAAATTGGACAATTTGGGAAGAGGAGATACGATTACTCGAGCCTCGCGGATCGTTTTTATAATCGTGGACAATTTATAACTATAAAAATAAACCGCGAGGCTCGAACAATCGTGTCTCCTCTTCCCAAATTGTCCATTTTTGTGCTCAATCTGAGCGCGAATTAGAGAGACATTACTGTACATCGTGCCAAAAATGGCGTTGCATCCTTCGACACGGGTTTCTAGCGTCAAACACGCCAACGCCGAGGTCAAATCGCCGCCTAAAGGCAGGAAACGCGCTTTTCCACGCTGGAAAAATGGAGCAACGAGACCAGATCGCCGCGCCGCTATCGGAAAGCTGAAGCGAAATGTTCCCGAGGATTTTTTGGACTGCTTTCTGCGCCGGCATTGGTGCGAGTTTGTGGCTCGGTGGCCGCGTGACACCTGTCCCCGGCGTTTTCTACGGGGTGTTATGTAACCTCGACCGAAAAATCTCGGTGCGGGAACGCGGCGCGCGGTCTAACCCTTCTCTCAGATGTGCCGCAGAGAGTGAAAGCGCGAGCATCGTTCGCGTGCTCGCCCGGTTGCTGGAATAACGCCTCGTGTTCCGCAACGAGGCGCCGTTACCGCGTGTGCAACGTGTCGTTATCGATCGCTGGGACAAGGATGCGACCGATACGCAGTGTCCTCGTGATTCTGGCCCTCCTGGCTGCGTCCTCGGCCGCAGATTTCGGTAAGAACGACAGGCAGCGACGCGCTGCTGCGAGGTTTCCGTTGCGAAATGCGATGGAAAAGGCAGTGCGACAACTGAAATTTTCGTTAATTACTCGTAAACGAAGCCGCAGATTACATTTTCGCGAAGGAAAACGTTGCTTAGAATGACCTTAGAGTGACCACACATTTCCGTATTGCGAGACATTTTTGGGACACCCTGTATATATCGAGCCTCAATTTTTCAGTTTATATCATTATTTGGATGAGAACTAAATGCAGTGTTTTAACCCTTTGCACTCGACAATTGCATCACATTTGCATTACGTTACATTACAACTGTAAATTAATTAATGCGAATAAATTTTTGATCGCCGCTCGGAGACGGTGTCCGCATTTTACATTGATCGCAAGATCGAAGCAAGGATTTTCCGTTCACATCTTTGGTATCCGCGCGACGACGAAAGTTCGCGCGTTGCTCGAAGGTTTCGTGACATAATGCACGCATTTGTCGGGGGAGGGTATTGCGCGAAGGACGTGATTATCGGCGCGAATTATGCGAGCGGAAAATTCTCACGGAATGCGGAGCCATTGTGAAGCAAAACTGGAAGACAAAGACGTCGAAAGAGAATCGACAGAATCTGCTCGATTTAATGGGAATTTTAGTTTCATCGTTGGATTCCCCGCTTTCGTTTTCGCGTGTACAGCAAATTCTCCCTGATTGTCCCACAGAGTGTACACGAAAATGGACAATTTGGGAAGCGGAGGATACGATTATTCGAGGACTATAAAATACAGATAACAATAATTGAAGTAAAACTAAAAATAATAATTGGAAATTTCATAGAATGGAAACAGGAAGTAACGAATAAAATTATGATTAACGCAATGAATAATTTAATAGTATAAATTAATGATAATAATATTATAATAATATATAATAATATATAATAATATTATAATAATAATGTAATAATATAATATAATAATAATAATAATAATAATAATTGAATTATGATTGTGCGAAACGCGTGTGGATGCAACGAGTATTAAACAACGAATTGCGTGAACAAAAGATACAAAATGTCAAGAATAAATAAATAAATATCAAAATAACAAAATATCATTGAATCTTGGAAATCTAACGGGTGATACTATATTGGAAAGAATGCGTCGAAAAATACAGAAGTTCAACAATTGAAAAATTGACCGCAGGGTTCCGTTTTCTCAACCACCTGCAATGTTAGCGTGCAGGAAAATTGCTGTCGTTTATTTACGACCTTGATGGCATCAAACTAGGACGTTACGTTTGATGCCCTTAAAAGGAAACCCGTCGCTCGTTTCATTGGAAATGGCTCCGAACCCGATCTGTTCGCTGTTTCTTAAAATGTCTTGAAATATGGCGCCCATATCCGATTTAACGACGACGTACAGTTAGGGCACAAAGTATTCGTACACCTTCTAAAACCGAGTAACTTTTTTTATAATTGGGCCATGCGATCTAAATTTTGTCGAGATGTTATTAGACAATTTTTTGACAAATTGTTTCCGAATATTGCAATTGGTCGGAATGACAGAAAAGAATAATGATCTCAGAACAATTTAGACCGCTCGGTATAATTATAAAAAAGTTATTCCAGTTTCAAAAGTGTACAAATAAATTCTAGGCTCTTATAATAATTATAAAAGAAAGATAGAAAACCTAGAAAAGCTAGAAAGCCTAGAAAACCTATATTGAAATTTCTCTGTCCCAAAATTATGCTGCTTCCGGGAAACGAGCGGTTCCTGAGACCATTTGAAGCAACTTTTTCCTTTGCAACAATTTTCTCCGCGGCTTCGTTTACGAGTTATTGATGAAAAACAGAAACCAATGAGAGGCGAGCTCGGCTGACGGCCCGCCCTCGCGGCCAATGCCGCGTCGCGCCAGCCGTCTGACGCGACAGTAATGGTCGCGAGGGCGTGGTGTCAGCGTTTTTCCTTAATAACTCGTAAACGAAGCCGCGGATCGCGTTTTCGCAAAGGAAAAAGTTGCTTCAAATCAGCTCAGGAACTGTTACCACTATAATTTAACCTCGTTTCCCGGAAGCAACGTAATTTTCGGACACCCTGTACATCGCTCTATGATCAAAATGAAGGAACTTTCTTCGTTTGCAGAGGACCACTTCAAAGATTGCCATCCAAACGTGCCAGGCTTCGACGCGTGTATACGCGAAGCGTTGAACGCGATCCGGCCGTACTTCAAAACCGGACTTTCCGCGTACAATGTAGCTCCTTTCGATCCGTTCTTCGCCAAGGAGGTTTCAGTGAAACGTGGAATGCAGAATTTCGGTTTTACTTTGACGCTGAGGAACGTCACCGAGAGCGGATGGTCTGCCAGCAAAGTAACGAAATTCGTCAGCGATCTGCCGCATTACAAGGTAACAATTCCTATGGATTCACATTTGTTGCTAATTGTTAAAAACGTCTTTCACAGTTTCTGCTCGACGATGCTCACTTTTTAGTCGAGAAATAGTTTCGTTAACTTAACATTTGCGCACCTGCTTAACACATGTAGCATAAAACAGTGATAAAATGGAGAGTACGGCTCTTGTGGAAAAAAGTATTCGACCACCTTTTAAAATGAAATAACCTTTTTTTCATAGTGGTCTAATTGACTCGAATTTTTTTTAAGCGTTAATGGGACTAGTTTTTCATTCTTTCAATTCTTTTGATTCTTTTGATTCTTTTAATTCTTTTAATTCTTTTAATTCTTCTTTTAATTCTTCTTTTAATTCTTCTTTTAATCCTGCTATCACATAAAATGACAACAAAAGATAAAAAGCACTCGTTTCTCAACTTTTTTATCTGAAAACCCGTGTGCCCTTTTAAACCGCTTTGAACCCTTTCGCATACAGAATTTTATTGTCCTCCGCGTATTTTGGAAGTCGCAGACGGTGCAGAAGTTGCGCGAGACACCCTGTATAAGGAACCAATTGACTTTCCAATTCCTCAGAAAAACTTATTTTGAATCTACACTCCACTTATTCCGAACGTGGAAAGTTCCGATGACCTGCTTCTGATTCGCGTTGGTGCCAAGTGGCGCTTATGGTCCTTTTTCTGCAGGAAATACTAAATAAAAAAACAAACAAAAAGAAAAACAGACAATTACCTTAACAAAGATTAAAAAACAGATTTAACCTTGATATCGTACGAGTCTCCCCTGTTTGTTTAAACAAACGACGTGCAAAAAAAAACGTGCAGCGTCGCCGCGGCTAAAATGATCGAAGAATCTTGAAATTATGTAAATAATTGAATGCCTGGAGGTGCAAGTTTTATTGGTCTTCTTAGCGGGATTAGCGGATTCGTAGAGGTGTTGGCCTTGAGTTTGCCAAGAGATTTTGTTGCTGCTATAGTTCAGCGTTCCGCTGTACACATTTATGCTTACGCATAATAGTAGCTTTCACTTGGATGCGTCAGTGAGTTAATTGTACCGGCATAAGATCTCTGGTAATAGAATATACGTAGTGTTCCAGTGCTGAGACAAAGGAGACACCGTATTCGCTCGTTTTTACGCTGATATATATATATGTAACAGTGGCAGTGCATTATATACTTATTTATATTATATATATTTTATATTATATTTGTATTCTATTTATATTGTATTTATTTTATTTATATATATATATATACTCATTTGCAAATTTACACTTCAATTTCAGGTTGTCTATACTCAGAGCTTCCCGGAAAAATTTCTCTCGGGTTCCTACGACTTCAATGCGAACGTATTCGGGACCTCTGTAACGAACAAGGGAAAATTCACTTTAACCCTTTGTAAGTAAACATCGATCATTTAAGAATTTTTAATCACTACCATAGGTAACAGAAACCATAATTATTATATGATTATAATAGTTAAAAATCGTTGCATTAAATTGATTGGATTAAGTATTACATTAATTTCAACGTTTCTAGTTACCGTCAATAATTATACAGGGGGTGTATTATTATTATTGATGCATCATCACCTAGCAAAGAACTCGAATGAACTTCTTAGACAACAGAATCTTTCGATATCAAGTTATTGCAAAAATAAACCGTCGGATAAGAGAGTTTTTACTGTAACTGTTCTTTTGGGTACGCGATTCAAAGGAGAACAGTTCACCTTTTAATTTCGTCGTTCCACGGATTCGGGCTGTTGCGATCTCTCTTCTCATAATTTCTTGCTTTTCAGATGACCTTGTTCAGACGACCACCGTCACCAAGAGACCCGGCCAAAAGATCCAAGTAAACGTGGACGTGCAAACGATCCGCGACCTGAAGCTCCACATCACGCACTTGCTCTCCGGCCGACAGATGCTGGAGAACATCCTCGACAGAATAATAAATGGCGCCTGGCAGCCGGGATTCGTGATGACCAGGGGGCTGATTAACGATCTCGTCTCCACCGCCTTCACCGAAATATTCGGCACCGCGTTCCGTAATTTCCCCTTCGAAAGGATCATCAAACCAAAACCGGGGGGAAGTTAGAATTCGAGTTACGGACCAAGGAATCATTCGGATTACATGCTTTGAGCTACAGGTTATTCGAAAATTATTGTATTTGTGGGAAACGAGGGATTCCCGAGGTCATTTGGAGCAACTTTTTCCTTTGTGGAAATGCGATCCGCGGCTTCGTTTACGAGTTATTCACGAAAAACACCGACGCCACGCCCTCGCGACCATTGCCGCTGCGTCAGACGGCCGGCGCGACGCGGCATTGGTCGCTGGGCGGAGCGCCGGCCGCGCTCGCTCTTCGATTGGTCCACGTTTCTCGTCGATAACTCGTAAACGAAGCCGCGGATCACATTTTCGCTAAGGAAAAGGTTGCTTCAAATGGCCTCGGGAACCTCCCGGTTCTAGATTCTACAATAATTTTGGGACAATAGAACACTATTTTGTTGTAAAACACAAATTTCCGAATGGCTTTCTTAATCCACGTCTTCCGCTTGAAACATATGATATCTCAGATTAGTATAAAAGACATTTTTAGAACAGTTTCAGGTGCCAAATGGCCGTTCATAGGTTTATTGTGGTAATGTTACCTACAGACAGTTTTTAAAGAATATTAAATGCATAATATATATTTTATATTTTTTTTATTTCGTTTTTATACTTTATATTTTTATATACATTTTACACAT